TTCAAATACCAAGGTCCCCAATTTTTTTGTAGTTAGTACTCATCCAAATGATGAAGTTGGGACAATAAAATCAAAAATCTAGGTCTGCGTGTTTTGAGATACAAATTTTTGAATGTTTTAACCCTAGCCAAAATGACCCCATTGTGAGTCAAAATTTTTTTTTATTTATTTTTAAACTCAGACTATATGTGCCCTTTCGATTAAGTACAAGTACATCCTCCTATCTTGAATACTTTAGGATCCTCGATTTTAATAGATTTCAATATTTTACAAGATTTCTTAAAATTGCTAAAACTTTGAAGCCCCATAACTTTTGAACCGTTTGAGCTACAGACCTGCGCTTGGGCTCGTTTTGAAGCCCAACACTATTCCTACAACCCACAGGAATCGTGCGGATTTCAGTTGGGGTCGGGTCGGACGAGTGCTGAGTTGAGAAATTTTGACCCAACTGCCCCCTCCCTCCCCTGACTCCTCCAATTAACTTTTCTTTCTTGCGGGTGTTTGTGCGCCACACTGCTTCTTTCTCTCTGACCCCTCCTTTCCTCCGCTTTTTTTCGCCCCGCCGCTCTCTATTGCCCCCTCGCTCCGCGCTCCCCGTCTCTCGCTTGGACCCGCCAGGCTGGCAGCGGCGCGCGCGCTTGGCGCCCTTGCGGCTCGTTAGAGCAGATTGCTGCTGTATGCGCCGGTGGTGTTTGAGTTTCGGCACTGCGAGGGGAAGAGGGGCTGGTGCGAGGCTCCCGACTGTGGGTCAGTAGGGGCAGCACGCATTCTCCCGTTTAGGCGACTTTTGGACGCACCCCGGTGGCATTTGCCCAAGTAGGCAATCAGGAACGGGAAGGGAATTTCTTTGAGGTTAAACGCGCAGAGATTCCACTGGAGCAGGTGGGCGGTAGGCGTTTAGGGAAGCGTGGTGCAAGAAAGGAGGGGCGTGGGATTGGGGGAGATGGAGTTTCAGACTGTGATTAAACACATGTGTGGCACTTGGAGAAACATTTGCACTCCCGCAGACAGTGCGGCGCTGTGCGGCGCGCAGCATGCAGAAGGCTTATGAAGTATATCGTTTCCCCGGACCCAAAGGTGTCCCGGCGCCTCCCCTACCATCTCTCACGTCTGTTGGCGCTGCCGCCACTGCTGCTAGTTTTGTCGCAAACACTGTTATTTAGTTATAGCGTCTTACGGCGGAGCATTGAGCATTAAGCATGGCTACATTACGGGTGTCTTGAGCCGAAATGTGTTGCTAAAGACATTTACAGTACCTGCACAACAACCACACTGGTAGGTAAAACAAGTGTGCACAATTTGCACACCAGCGTGTGCAAGTTATGATTTTGCACTTTACATGGTGTTTAACTCAAGCTGTACACTTGCGTCGTTAACAAATTTTAGACGTTTTTTTGTAAACGTTTCAATTCTGCATACATGGACATATGTGCGCGCACACACAGTTCTATGCTATGAATATGTGTGAAATGTGTGCAAACCATCTGCCATGTCACCACCATCCAAAAAACCTGTAAACTGCCCCTTAACGTGAGCATTGCTCCTGGGGCCCATCAAATGTGAAATAAATAAATAAAATAGGAACAATATGGTGTGCAGCTGCGATACTTTTCGGAAGTGTCTTAAGTTTTAACACTAATGGACGTTTAACCCAGTTAGACACCACAATGCATTGAAAAAATGACAATGTAAGCTTAAGCCGTGTTTAATCATCTATTGTCTTTGTTTACAGCGAACAGACAGATTGGCAAGGCAGCTCACTCACTAATCAAAATGCCAGTCCAGTGTCCACTTTGCGGGAGAAAGTGTTCTTCAGCATCTGCGCTAAGGACCCACGTGATGCGCACCCACACAGGAGAAAAGCCATTCGAGTGCGCGTTGTGCGACAAGAAGTTCTCCAGTGCTAGTCATCTGCGGAAACATTTTCGCACCCACACAGGAGAAAAGCCATTCGAGTGCACGTTTTGCGACAAGAAATTTTCCAGTGCTAGTAATCTGCGGGAACATCTTCGCACTCACACTCGTGAAAAACCATTCGAGTGCACGTTGTGCGACAAGAAGTTCTCTGTTACCAGTAATCTAAAGAGACATCTGCGCACTCACACTGGAGAAAAGCCATTTGAGTGTGCGATGTGCGACAAGAAGTTCTCTGTTACTAGTAGTCTACAGAGACACCTGCGCATTCACACTGGAGAAAAGCCATTTGAGTGTGTGTTGTGCCACAAGAAGTGGCCCAATGCTAGTGATCTGCGGCAACATCTTCGCACTCACACTGGAGAAAAGCCATTCGAGTGCACGTTGTGCGACAAGAAGTTCTCACGTACTAGTGATCTGCGGGACCATCTTCGCACTCACACTCGTGACAAACCATTCGAGTGCACTTTGTGCGTCAAGAAGTTTTCCAGAACTCAAGGTCTGCGGAACCATCTTCGCACTCACACTGGAGAAAAGCCATTCGAGTGCACGTTGTGCGACAAGAAGTTCTCTACGTCTTTTGGTCTACAGCAACACCTGAGCACTCACACTGGACTAAAGCCATTCGAGTGCTCGTTGTGCGACAAGAAGTTCTCTGTTACCAGTAATCTAAAGAGACATCTGCGCACTCACACTGGAGAAAAGCCATTTGAGTGCGCGTTGTGCGACAAGAAGTTCTCTGATACTTGTGATCTACAGAGACACCTGCGCATTCACACTCGAGAAAAGCCATTTGAGTGTGCGTTGTGCGCCAAGAAGTTCTCTACCCCTTCTGGCCTGCGTGTTCATCTTCGCACTCACATTGGAGAAAAGCAGCTCAAGTGAACTTGTCTAAATCTGAAGTACTGTGGAGAATGCATACCTGTGTGGCAACGTGAGGTAGTTTGCAATCGCAGTTTCAAAATTCATCCTTGCTACAGTTAGTGTGAACAACTGACGATGTATCAATTAAAATTCAATCGAATCAGCAAGTGTTCATTTACTGTTACCTTTGATTCTCAGCATTAAATTTATTTAAACCATCGACATTTTACACATTGAGTGAGTGCTTCATGTAGTTATACGCAACACTGATATAAACCCTCAAACGCTCGGTAAACACGTGTAAAGCGCCCAACTTACACATAAAGCATCAAAAGATCTAAAGCCACTCAAACTTTCCGCCTTTTCTCACTTGCATTGAGACAAATGCATTTCAATGTAGAATCTACGTGACGCATACCGGAAACGGATCAACAGTGGTGCGACCGAGGGGTCGACAACGCAGATTTTTCGTGTACATCGAATATCTGGAATATTTTTGGAATATCTGAAATTTTTTGGTAGAATATCTAGAAATTGTTGGCGAAATATAGGGAATATTCTTGCCTGTGTTGTGTACTTGGTCCAGGTGCCCCCTCAGGTGCCACCTTTGTTTCTCTATTGCCATCTTTCCGTTCCGTCCCGCGGGGCCGTGTTGTCCCTCCCCACACACCATCAGCAGGAGCGGGCCAATACGCGGCGCGGGGCAAACAAGCTCAGCCGCACGCAAACATGCAAGGCCCTCCCCGGGCTGTGCAACTAACCGCGACTGATACAGCCGAGCCTCCTCACCTCTCCTCCGCGTGCGTGGGAGGTTGGAGGAAGGGGCCAGAGGACGGAGAGAAATATAGGAAGGAGACGCGCCTGCCGCTCTGATAATAATTAGTCTCATCAGCCGCCCCTGCTGCTGCAGCAGCATGCTTCCGCGCACTGGCTACCCGGCGCGCATAAGTAGGTGGGAAAGGTGGCCCCTACACGACCAGGGCGGCGGCCCTCTTCTTGTACGTGACGATGAATTTTTCATGCCCCAGAGTATGCGCTGGGCATGAGCGGTATGAGCGCTCTTTCAACAATAGCCCTCCTATTCACTCGTCTGGCGTGTAGCTCCTCCTCTCCCCTCTCCATAGCCCACCCATTTCCACTCCCTAACTCTCGCCATTCTTGCTACTCTTACTCCTCTCTCCTACTTTTGTCCATCCAGCAGGTGCAGACTATTTCTATCCCTGTCCTACCCATTCACTGGTCTCCTACACTCTCTCGTATTCTCTCGGCCTCTCTCACTCACACGCTCTCGCTTGATCTCTCTCTCTCTCTCTCTCTCTCCTCTCTCGCTAGCTCTCGGGCTGGGCATTTGATTTCCCCCGTGCCCGCTCAGGCGTTTGCCCGGCCATTGCATTGAATCTCTTGCCCTGAGCCTGGACGCCTGCCGGGCCTGGCCTGGCCGCGGTGCATGTGAGCCGCGGGGTGGGCTGGGCGCGCTGCAAGGTAATCCCGGCCGCGGCGTGGGTCGTGGCGCCCGTGGCGGGCCGCGGTGTGGCCGGGGGACAAAATAATGGCTTGCAAACACTCGAGGAACAGGGCCTTAATCCGTCTTCGGAATGCTGTCACGCTCAGTGGAGCAAAAATAGAAATCCGGGACTCTTCGCATGGGGCGGTGGCGGGTCGGGGACGGGGAGCCGGAGGGTGAGGTGGGAGGGGGATCCCTCGCGGGGCCGTTAAGACAATACGGCTCTCCATGGGAGGGGCGAAAAATCGGAAGCTGCCCGCCGCCTCTTATACAATGCAAAGCGGGGCGAGCGAGAGAAGGGAGCGGGGGGGGGGGGATAAAGAAGGATTCGGCCGCGCCAACAAAGAGGGCAGTCAGGGAAGCGAGAATTGGCGATAGTGGGGGGCGTTCGCTCTCGCGCAGCAGGGCGCGCCGGCGGGAACCTTCAAAGGTGGCCGGGAGGGGCGCCGGCGCTCGTCTGAATGGCGCTATGGGGGGGCAGCAGCTCGCGAGCTGTGTGTCATTAGGTGTGGGAGGCGCAGCCCGGCACAGCCCGGCCTCCCTGTATTAATCCACTCGGGAATGCAAACAGGCTGCTCGCTCGCACGCGGCCGTTATAGTCGCTAGGACGACGGCGATGGTGGTGGAGGGCCGGAGGGGTGTTGAGCTGGGCCGGGCTCGCTCGAGTGCTGCCCAAGTGGGGCGGGGGCGGTCTGTGCGAGCGGCGAGTGGCTGGGTCTGGGCGCTCGCTGCGCGCTGCGCGATTGTAATTGTCGGCACGGGACGAGATGGAGGCCCCTCTGCACCCTAGCCCCGCCCCGCCCCGCCTCACCTTCCTCCTACGTACCCGGAGGGGTAATTACTCCCTGCCCTGGCCTGCGGTGCCACCAGCTGCTGCAGTACCCTGTCGAGAAGAAGTTGTCACACTGTCAGAAATGTTGCACCAAGGTACATTACTAAATGGAAAAGTAGGTATGCAATGCAGTAAGCACGTGATCCCTGTGCCCGGGTAAAAATTGTTTGTACTCAAATTTTATAGAA